GAGGACGAAGGTGTAGAACTTTGCGATCACTAGCAGGTGCGCCAGCGCTTTCCAGCGGGCGGCCGTCCACTGTCAAGTGCGTCTCCAGGTGGGGAACGTTGACTGCTGCTGTGGCTATAAAGCAGCTGCCAATCGAGACCTCGGTCATGTTGGCCGAGCATCGGCGCGCGGTGGACCTGGCGGTGACCTCGACCATTGTCGACAAGATGTTTCCAGAATTCTGGTTGGCGATGAGATCTGCGGTGGCTGCGTCGACAGACAGGCCACATCAGGCTCTTTAGCGGCAGCGCAGAGATGCTGAAATCGCCGACGAGGATCACATTGTGCGTGCCAGGGTTGTCGGCAAGACGCCGATGCGCAGAGTCCCAGGCGGCTTGGAAAAGACGGCGGCCACTAGGCGACAGCTCGTGGTTGTGCCCGTTGAAGATGGTGGTCACGTGGCTCCGCTCACCATCCAGAACGCGAAGTTCTGCGATGCGTCCGTGGACGATGGGCCGAAAGTCACGATTAGGCCGTTAGTCATCAGGAAGTCCAAGCTCGCGCTTGTCGTGTGGAACGAAATGGGCAGCGCCGCCAGTGTTCTCGGAGTTTTCCATGCACCCCGAGTGGGACGCAATGAACGGGTACGGAGTGAAGTCGGCGAAGTACTGCATGTCGGCGCAGTTGCCGCGGGTCTTCTGCAGCGCAATAGCGGTGCGCTGTCTCGTGGAAGGCAGCGAGACGTCGCGCTCGAAGGCGCGACGGGAATCTGATTTCCCTACTAGCGCCCGGGCGCTCCAGGCGACGACGTCGCGGCCATCTGGCTGAAGATTCGCGAACCACGGCGACCATCTTGTGCTAAAGCCATCGCGCTGCAGACACCGGGCCGCGGAGGCGGCGGCGAGCTCTGCGACGATGGGACCGCGCTCAGCTGCCGGAATGCCAGCAGGAACGGCAGCGTCAGACCAGCGAGCTTTAGTAGGAGCCAGAGAAAAACACACAGGAATTTCACACAATGGGTTTTGGCACCACCAACGGTGCAACGCATGTGCACACATGCCACTGGATCCCCACCGATCCGAACCAGGGTTGATGCACGGCCGTGCTCTAGGATGCAGTTGACACGCATGGCGTGGCAATGCTGTCGGCGGCGACAAGATCCCAAGATCCGCTACCAACAGGCATTCCATGGTGGTTTGGCACAGCCAAACCACCGTGCAACGGCAGTTTGTTCATCCGTTGACAGCAGCACGCGGCGCGGCAGCAGAACGCAGTAGAACGCACGGGCATGCAAGGCCAGCGATGTGGCTGGCCAGCTGCCAGCGCGAATCCGGCAGAAGAGCCGAAATCCACGCAGGGTCGTTTTGGGCGTGGCATCCAGCGCAGCGGCATCGCAATGCCAGGCGCCGCGGCCTTGCGGCTGCAGCGCCAGGCCCCGCGCGCTCCTCGCGGCGGGAAAACAGGCCCTACACAGAGGAATCGCGCGCGCTCTTGTGGGGGCGGCGAAAACGATCGCACGCAAAGGAAATTCCTTTGCGCGCCCCCCGCGCCGGCAGCGCAACCAGACCGCGCGCGCAGGAATTGCGCGAGACTTCGCGGCGCGCAAATGAATTACAGCAACGCCCTTTGGGTTGCGCTCTTCGCGCGCGGCGACAGCTCCGAGCTGGAAAAAAAGGGGGGCGGGGCAAGGCAAAACAAGGGGGAGGAAACGGAAGAAGAGGGCGAGAAAGAAGCGAAGGAAGCAACGGAAGGAAGCCAGGATGCGCGCAAGCGAAGCTAACGCTGCGCGCCGAGACAGTTGTTCGTTCGTTCGGTTGGCCGCGCGGCAGATGAATAGAAAAAGAATTATTTGCTGCATATCGAAGGGACTTCTTGGGAATGAGACTCGCGCTCCCCAGCCCCCCTTCCCACGCCCCGTTGCGAGCGCGCGACGATTTGTTCTGGCCCGCGGGCAGAGGACTGCCAGTTGCTGGTGAGCGGCCTTTCCACCCGTCACGCGCCCCGAACAAATGCGACCAGCTAAACGCGCTTGCCGCGCAAACCGCCAGCTCCAAACACCGACGCCACCCCGATCCCCGCATCCGTGCCGGGCACCCTCTCAACGACGCCCCCTTCCGGTGTAAAACCAACAAAACTCTTTGTGTTCATGTTTTTTCCTGTTCTGATTTAGCAGCCGCATCCGGAGCTGCTCCAGCGTCGACCTGCACGATGAGCGAGCTTTTGACAGTCAGGTTCCCGAGCGCGCGGTGGATCTTCATCTCGATGTCGGGGCGTTTGGCTGCGATGGTTCTGCTGAGCTTTTTGAGCTGAACTTCTTGTCGAAACATCCGAGGCGATTTCTCGGCTTAAACGTAGAGCGGTACCTGTCCAGACAGACTCGCGACCTGAAATTGCCCCCATTCTCGTCCAGATCGAAGGGCTTTATGAAGGGTACTAGCACGAGGAAGGGCCTGTAGATCACCCCCCCCCCCAGTAAGCGGGAAAGACATTCTTGCAGCAGGTCCAGTCGAGTTGAGGCGCATCGCGTTGATGACGACGTCGGCTGCAGCGAACCAGGGGGCGAGCGCGTTCTTGAGGCCCTCCGTGTCGAACTCGGCGGGGGCACCGCACCATAATGTAGCAGCATGAGGGGCTCTGTCCCAGTTGCCCAGCGCGCCGCAGCTGATGGACGGGTGCAGGGCTTCGGCATGACGAGTGGACTTCATGATCTCATCGACGCTGGCTTGAAGTTCAGCACTGAGGCGTTCGGCTTTGTCGGTACGGGACTTGAGCTGGGCGAGGTCACATTCGGCAGATTCTTGTCTGGCGCAGAGAGCTTCCGTGTTGCAGGTGATGGTCGCGATGAACTCGGCTTGAGCGTCGGCTGATATTCTGCTTAAAGTGGCTTCGAACGCAACAGCAGCTTAGTAAACGTGAGTTTGAAGTAGATATTGTCGTTCTTTTCGTTGATGGGCAGGGATGGTCGCGGCGAGAAACTGTCCAGCACCAGCCGCCCTGGACTTTCGGAGGCAAGTCCTTTGCCAACACCTTTCTCGCCAATGCCTGTGCCACTAGGAGCTGCGATGTCGGCGTCACTTCCGACCGAACCACTAGACGATCCCATTCTGCAGCCTCAGCCGCAGGCGAGAGGTGGCCGGCGCCAGCCACAGCAGAACGCGCGTGATATGGAAGCTGACCGCAGGCGACTGCGGCAGCACAGAATATAAAACTCAACGCTGCGGGCGCAGCGATGGCGAGGGCGGGAAAGCGGCGTCCATGCTGGCCCTGGACCGAGGGTATCAGTGCTCTGCCACGGGGCAAGCATATCTTGAATTCGAGCCCAGATGGTTACGGAAGGAGGAAGAGGGGGAGGAGGAGGAAGAGGAGGAGGAAGAGGAGGAGAGGGAGGGGGAGGAGGAGGAGGTGAGGAGGAGGAGGAGGAGGAGGAGGAAAAGGAGGAGGAGAGGGAGGAGAGGAGGGAGGAGGACGAGGAGGAGGAGAAGTGGGAGGAGGAGGGGTTCAGCGTTCGTGGTGCTCGCTTCCTGTTCGCAGCGACGAAGCCTCAGGGTGCGCATCGTGGCCGCAGGCAGGTGCGCGGGCGGGCGGTGGCCAGGTGACGTGCTAGAAGAGGGGGGGCTGCCTTGAAGAGCCCAGTCCTCCCCCTCTTGGACGCCACCGGCACTGCAGGATGGCGATAAAGAGAACATGCGGGAGAGCGCCTCCGAAACTGGCCTCTGCCGCTGGAAGATGTCTGGAAAGAGGGCGATCTAAAACCCCCAGGGATGACGACGCCCACGAGCAAGCCCTCTCCCTCTTCCTCCTCCTCCTCCGCCATCCTCCTCTTCCGCCATCCTCCTCCTCTTGTTCGTTTTCCTCCTCCTCCTCCTCCTCCTCCTCCTCCTCCTCCTCCTCCCCCTCCTCGTCTTCCTCCTCCTCCTCCTCATCCCTCTTCTCCACCTTCTCCTCCTCCTCCTCCTCTGCGCGTCGGAAAACTGACCGCGACGCAAGGCTGCTCGCTATGTTCCGCCTCCCGGGGCCTCCCTGGGTCACGGGGCAGCCAGCAAAATATGACTCGGGATGCGCAGCCGAGAAAAGGGCATCCAGAAATCAGAGGGCCCACGTTGAAAGCGCCCAGGGGCACACAAACAAATACACACAAATCCCAGGATTCCTGATATTTCTAAATCTTTTCTGGATTTTCGTCTTCCCCTCCACTTCCAATGTTTTCCTAAATTTCCTAGGAGGTCGACGATCATTTGTGCCTGTGTGTTGTTCCCCTCCTGACGCGCTGCGAAACAAAACAACCACTGGTTGTGAGCTTTCGGGAGCGACGCCTCGGACGTTTGGAACCAAACCCGAGCGCGCCAGCCGCCGCGGCTGCCGCACCGCACTCCGCAAGCGGCCGGGGCGCCTGTCGGCACGCACCATAAAGGTCACTCTGCCCTTAGAAAAAAAAAAAAACGCAAATGTTTCCCTAACCCTCCCGTGTGCTACGTCCTCGTTTTGAATATAGCACTGTGGTCTCCGCTCCTCCTCCTCCTCCCTCTCCTCATCCTCCTCCTCCTCCTCCTCCTCGTCGTCGTCCTCCTCCTCCTCCGTCATCCTCCTGCCTCCTGCCTCCTCCTGCCCCCTGCCTCCTTGTCTCTCTTGCTCGCGCCTTTGCTGCTGGTGGAACTCCGACGTCATGATTCTCCCCAGGGTCTCGAGTCTCGACCCATTCCCCAGGACCAGCGTCGCATACCGAGCATTCGTTTGCAGGCCCTGGGGCAGAGGACGGCGAAAAGCACGCCATCGTGATTCCGTCGCGACGCGGGGAGGTGGTCTGGCGAAGAGTCACCTTTTAAAACGAAGGCAGAATCGAGACAAAATCGGACCGACACAAATAGAAAATCTCTGCGCATCGACGGGCTTGCAAGATGCGTCGGGGCGCCGCGGCCGCTTCAGAGCACTCCAGAACGCTCCGAGAGCCTTCCGGGACGCTCTGCAAAAGGAGTGATCGCGATTCCGGGCCCGCCCGACCCCCCCCTGCCAGCACTCGACTCCTGACGCCCAGATCGACCGCGTTCTCGACCTCGTCGCTGCCCGGGCTGCCGGGCGGCAGGCTGGGCACGAGCACGACCTCGGGTCGTCGTCGTCGTCGTCGTCGTCGTCGTCGTCGTCGTCGTCGTCGTCGTCGTCGTCGTCGTCGTCGTCGTCGTCGTCGTTGGGGGCGGGGAGGCGGGGAGGTGCAGGAGGAGCGGGCGGCGGAGAGGGGAGGGACGCCAGGGGGAGGGAGCAGGGAGGGCGAGGGAGGGTGGTGAAGAGGGAGGGAGGGGAGGGGAGGGGAGGAGGGAGGGGAAGAGCGCGAGGGAGAGAGAGGGAGCGGGGCCTGGGGGAGGGGAGAGGAGGGAGGAGCGAGACGGGGAGGGAGGTCGGAAGGGGGATGAGCAAGCTAGGGCAGCCATCTTCGGGCTGCGCGCTCCACTTGGCCCGAAGCGCGATCATCTTCGCGCGTTCGGGCCGCCCCCCCCCCCGGGAACAGGATGAGGGGCTCGCGCCTCGCTCTGAAGTCGCCCGAAGCGCGATCACCTTCGCGCTCTCGCGCCGTGGCCCACTCCCCTCTTGGAGCAGGAGGGGGGGACTCGCGCCTCGCTCTGAGATGGCCCGGACCTCGATGCGCGAAGGGCGACTACCTTGGCACCCTCGTGGTGGTCCCAGGTAAGCAGGAGGGGGATGATCGGCCGGTCGGGCTCGGCGTTGCAGCGGTCTGCGCGCCGTCATGCTGATGGCTCTCACCCGAGAACCGAGGGGGGTACACTAGCAGCCACCGCCGCCCTCTCCAACGAAGGGAGGCCAGGCCCTGAGCCCCAGGCAGCCCAACGCAAAGAACCGAGAGGGCGGCGGACGGCGAGGGCGAGGGGGAGAGGGAGGAACGAGGGGGGGAAAATGGGAGAGGAAGAGCACGACCAGAGGAACGATGGGGCGGCAAGGGGAGGGAGGGAGGGAGGAAGGGAGTGGGAGGAGGCGGAGGTAAGGGGAGGACATTCCAGCATATTATGAAAACCCAGACAGATTTGGGGCCAGGGAGAATGTGGGAAGAGAAGGGATGAGGAGGCGGGATGATTGATGAGGAGGGAGAAGGAGGGATGAGGAGGGAGGAGGTGGGAGGACGAGGAGTCGGCGGAGGCAGGACACAGTAAACTGGTAACACATCGCTGGATTCACACCTCATCCACATGTCCAAAAACCTTTCCTCTCACAAATCATTGGAAGATTTCTGTGCATGTAGTGAGTCGTGTGGGCCTTCGCACACAGTGTGTTGAACGTCTCACGTTCGTAAACCTATCCTGGACAATGTCCACTATGCCGTGCGCGGCGGTGGCTGCAAACATAGTTTCATGGTCATGCTCATGCCCCCGAAATTTAAGAAGCAACTCCTGGGAGGTCTTCGTAAGCCCGATTACAAGGCCACTGAACCGGATGGGGCTGGATTCAACCTAATCCGGGACTCAGCCAGATTCACTGGGACTGAGCCGGAGAACATTCGATTCTGAATAGAACCTCCAAGGAGCAGCGTCCGAACGAAGTGGAGCAGCAGCTGATGTTTATGCTGATGCTGATGTTGCTGGTGATGATGATGATGATGATGGTGATGATGATGATGATGATGCTGATGATGGATGATGGATGATGGATGATGATGATGATGATGATGATGATGATGATGATGATGATGATGATGATGCTGCTGCTGCTGCTGCTGATGATGATGATGATGATGATGATGATGATGATGATGATGAGGATGATGAGTACGGTGGTGATCACGACGACGACAACGACGACGATGATGATGCTGATGATGTTGATAATGATGATGACGACGACGACGATGATGCTGATGATGAGGAGGAGGATGGTTGGTGATGACGGCGGTGTTGACGGCGGCCTTGATGACGTCGGTGATGATGGTCCTGCCCCCGAAACCCGCGGGTGGAGCAGAGCAAGCGCCCCCACCTCGCCGCGGAGGGCGCCCGCTGCGGGGGCGCGGGCCCCGCGGGCCTGCCACGGGCTCAGCACGTGCGCGGGAGGCGCGCAGAGGGGCGGCCTCGACCAGTTCGGGACCCCGAGGGAGGAGGGAGGAGGGAGGAGGGAGGAGGGAGGAGGGAGGAGGGAGGAGGGAGGAGGGTGGAGGAGGAGCAGGAGGAGGAGGAGGAGGAGCAGGAGGAGGAGGAGGAGTCGCCTTGTGCACGTTTTCTCAATCAGCGCCTCGACAGTGGGCAAGGGGGGGGGGCAGGGGAGGGGTCTGGCTCCGGATCTTCGCTTTGTGCGACTGGGTGCAGCAGTGCGTCCTATGGGGGGGGGAGGCTCCACCTGCTTGAAACAGGCGCCAAAAACAGCCAAGATCTACTCCAGGGGGGGGGGGGGGCAGGGGGGGCGGTGCGAGGGCCCGCGCCGATCGGCAAAACAATGAATACGAAAACTATCACTTTCTGACTGTCCCGGGGGCCTGGCGAAGGCCCCCAGAGGCGGAAATGTGAGAAAAACCGCTGTAGCGATCGAACTTCTTGCAACGTTAGAAGTATGGGCCTTTTCCCGCTGGCCGGAGCCAATGTTTGGCGTCGCGCACAAGGAGGTAGGCGGAGGGGGGAGGCTTCTTTAAAGGAGGTTGTTTCTTGGAAGGCGCTGGCCCTACATCTGCAGACGAGGCCCGCGCCTTCTGAGAAGCAGGGGTGCCTCTGAGAAGCCTTCGCCCCTCCCCCTACCCCCCTGTGCGCATGGGCGAGCTTGGCTTACGGGGCACAACTCGGATCTCTGGCGGCCGCTCGGGACGACCCAGGAACCCCGCGGAACGCCCTCGGCGAGGCGCACCTGCCGGCACGCAGCACGCAGGCCGAGGATGGAAAGCCGCCGAAAACCGGCGAGACCGCCCGAAGACCTCGAAACTCGATCATCGAAAAGCCGAAACGCCAACCGAAAATCCTGAACACACCCCTCTGCGCGTGGCCGACGTGCGCAGGAGGCGCGGACTGGCGATGCCCCCGCGGCCCGCCACACGCTCGGAACCTGTCAGCGAGGGCGCCCCCGCACATCGCAGGGCGTGCCCTTTCGCTCGGAGGGAGAGGCACCGATACCGCTGCCCTTGCCTCGTTTTCTCTTTTCGTGGGCCTCCTGGGAGGCCCTCGTCGCCACCGCTGGATTCGCCTCGAAATTCTACTCAGAACGCACCCTGGAAGGCGTGCCCCTCCTTTTTTCCTTGTCTCCAGCCACCAAGCAGAGGAGAGGGGGGGGTCTGCTGCCCCTCGAGGCCTCGAGGGGGCTACCCCGAACGCGCAGCGCGAGCGAGGCCAAAAGCAAGGCGGAAGGCGTGCCCCTCGTGCTGCTTTCGCGGAGGCGGCCAGCGCGACTGCGACCCGCCACGCGCTTGGGACTTACTTGTGAGCTACGTGTTCGACCGTGGGCCCCTTGTTACCCATCGCTCCTGTGCCGTCTTCGGCGGTCTTCGGAAGGTCTTAGGCGGTCGTCGGGCGGCTTTCGGCAGTTTCTGGAGGACTTTGGCGGTTTCCAGCGGTATTCGGCGCGAAAGCTTGATGTTCGTGTCCAAGAAAGGGGTCCATGATCGAACACCTAATGTGAGGGCCCCCCGCAAATCGGAAGGCGCGCCCCTTGACGTCCTGGCATTCCGATGTCTGTTTTGTGTTGGTTCCTGCTGCCTTCGCGGCGGCGGCCGGCGCGACTGCGGAAAAAAATATCTCAATCGCCCATGCCGCGATGGAGGGAGAAGGGAGGAGGGAGAAGGGAGGAGGGAGGAGGGAGGAGGGCGAAGGGAGGAGGGAGG